AACAAGCAAAATGAGCTAATCTAATCTAGATAAGGCTGCTGTTGCCGAACTGGGTAGGATGAGCATCACTGAATCCTTGCCGCTGCTGGCGGTGGGCCCGGGGCCTGTTGCTGCCGGCGGCGATGGTACGTCTTCCCGAGGAAGGCGTCCATAACACTATGTCCCAACTTGAGGGGGAGTGTTGAAATCAGTTAACCGCTCTTAGTTTTTTATTTATTTTTCTGCTCTTTAGTGTCGCGGGGCACTCTTGTATTTTCCCTTATTTTTATTATTAGTTGGGTCACCCTAACATAAAAGCTAATAGCTGGCGCTGCCAGCCATAAGTTTGAATCCAAGGTTTGTATTGATCAAAAGGAAAAGTTTCTGATTTTCTTCCTTGTGTATCAGAAATGGAAACTTTCTGCTCTGGAAAAGGAAACAGAAAACAAAAAAACTACTAATGCTTTAATAGTTCCATGTCTTCAGATTTTAACTAGAACTAGTTCATTTTATAAAAATTGTGTAATCTTCTTTGTCTTCTTGAGAATCTGCTCATGTAAGACCTTCTGTCAGTAACACAAGTAATGTGTTCAGGCAATTCTTGGTGGTTACATTTCTGTAGCAGTTCACTTTCTGTTGACAATAAAATGCGGATGTGCTGAAATATGTTTTAAAATGAACTGTACTTGTATTATCCCTAGTTTTAATTATAGTTGATAACTAAAATTGCTTCACCTTTGTTCTGTTTCCCTCTTTGCTGGGTTTATATTTCTATACAAAATTTATATAAACTTTTATGCTGTTGAAAAATCTCAGAAATTTCAATTGTAACAACAACAGTAAAGATACTTAATGCATACTGCATTTGCTTACATGGAGTGAATTATGGTGCAGGCAGGAACTTGTATATACTCCGGTTCATGAAATTATATTCTCATCCATAGACAAGCCAAAGCTTCTTAGCCAGGTATTTAAGAGAATATTGCATCTGCTCTTATCGTGCAGATAAGATTTTTTAAATGCCTTGTGGATCTATTTCACTTCTTATAATTTGATAGTTTTCTTGTCATAACTCCCTCCAAAACTAGAAAGTAACACCAAGTATAGTGGAAGTAGAAATGTGTTAATCACATGTCAAGTCAAGACCTGGACAAGCCCATTTCAAATCCTTTTGACTGTCCTCCTTTAGCATTTTCCAGGACCTCTATTTTGATACTCTGCAAAATCTTGTGAATTCTATTTTTTATAAAATTTGATTGCTTTCATGAGTGTTTTCACTTAAATACTTCATTACCATCTGAATGTTGGTTTGTTAATTTTAAAGAGCATTACATTGTAGAGTGCAGCATTTCTCATTAGTAGTTGTTTTGTAATTTGGAGATCTGGTCAAAGTCTTGTTGTTTTTATTTAAGCCTGTTTGGGGACTATTTATGATGCCTCTAACTTTGCTGCATGGTCTCCTAGTTCTCTGCTTTGCTTTCTGATATAGGGCTAAACATCCGTGAAGCACATGTTTTCTCAACAACTGATGGCTACTCTTTGGATGTGTTCGTGGTGGATGGATGGCCTGTTGAGGTAATTTCTTCCTTATATATTTTCCAACATAATATATACTTTTTGCTGTTTGTACTAAATTGGATCTTTTGTTTGACATCATGTTTTCATTAAAAGAAATCATATTTCTGTATAATCATTCCTAATAATCTTCATCTATTCCTTACAATTTCTGCTAGATTTTCCAAGTTGGTTTGTTTGACCATGTTGGCCAATTATTAAGTTTTGATATCTTTAATTCTTTATCCATAACAGTGAAGTATTCAAGTTTTAGCTTAAATCATAACTTGTTCCTTGGATGTTCTAAATAAAACTAATGAATATAAATCAAAATGATCTAAACACCCCTACCATCCAAAAATACAAAAGTTATGTAGAGGATTAGATAATTTCATTTTTGACTTGTTTGCTCCTACATCATGCATTATTCTTTCAATTTTATGGAGCATTTTGGAATAGAAACATAAGAATGTTTGAAGATAACTTTAACCACATCTAATCAGTTATGTCCTCTTTTTATTTTTTTAGTAGCTATTAAAAATTTCTAGATTCTAGTAAGAATAAGGTATTTATAAGATGACAAGCATCCCTAGCTGCAGGCTAGGGATTAGACATCTAATCTAGTTTTTCTATTTACATTAAATTTGACCCCCAAAAAGTTGACCCTATTTACCCTTGTAAAGCATCAGACAAAGTATTTTCTGATCTTTTTTTTATTGATAAATGAGTGAAATTTTATTAAACCAGCAAATAAGAGTTACACACAACCCGTGGAAAGGCACGAGATGCGACCTTTCCTTTAAAGCTAATTACAGAATTATAAGTACAAAAGAAATTACACTGAAGCTCAAAATAAAGTATCCCGGGAAACCCCTTGTTTTACAAGTGAATCAGCCAATGAGTTTGCTGATCTGCCTACCCACTGAACTCTGATTGTCATATTCCTTGTTAACCATTTAACCTTTTTGAGAAGATCTCTAAAACCCCAAATCACAGTGGCTGGATCCTTCAGCCAACCCACTATCACCTGGGAATCCCCTTCAATAATCATATGCTCTATGCCTAGCTGATTTGCAAGCTGGATTCCTTGTACAGAAGCCAGTAATTCGGCCCTTAAAAGAGTCTCCCACACCCGCAGGACCTGAGTACAAAGATATCACGTTACTATCTTTGTTTCTCAGCACTCCTATGCTTGAAGGTCCTGGATTTCCTCAGCTACTTCCATCAAAGTTCAGCTTGATAAACTCCTCCCCTGGTGGCATCCAATCAACTCCATGTCTGTCCTTCCTGGTAGAAGTATTTTCTGATCTTTGTACCCCAAAAAAGTGGAATCTAGCTGCTCTGACAAGTGTCTTATCTTTGTTATGATGTGTCAATACTGCCATAATCCTTGGCTGTTGCTTCTCATCCAATGCACTCCCTACTTTTGAATCCCCTTCCACTATTACATTTTTGAACCCTAATGATCTGGCCTCCCTCAAACCTTGCAATGTAGCTAGCTGTTCTACTTTTATGGAATCCATATGGCTAAGTGACCTGCAATATATTTCTAGCATGGTTCCATCCAATGCTTTAAAACCTCGGCGTGTGATATGAGGCATTTCACTTTCTTGAAGCATGTAAAGTGAAAAGGAAGTGTACTGCACACCTCTATGCTAGAGGCATGCCTCCAGGAGTATGTTTCCTGTGCCTTTTAAAACACTGGTTCAATCATCATCCCTACACACCCCCACCTACTTGATGGTCTCATGTTCCCAATGATACATCCATCAAAATTCATCTTCATTTGGTTAATCCTTGGTGGATTCCATTGTACTTGAGCCATACCCCTTGCACTTACAAATTAGCCACCCATTTCCATCCTCTAAGAATGTTGTCTATGGAAAATAGGGCAAATGTGTTACCCTATGTGCTACTTTCACAGTTCAACTGTGCTATTTTCAACTAATATTTCTTTGGTTCTTACCTTTCCCTTGAAAATTTTCTCATTTCTTTCTTCACTTATTGACCATAGTATTGCTGCCCTGATGCATCTCCACATGATTTTCCCTCTCCTTGGCTGGGTAAAGATAGTGAAATTTCTAACTACATCATTTGGGGGATTCCTACAAGCCTATATTAATTTTGGACTTCAATTATTTAGAGAGAATTGATTGATAAGTTTTTGGTTGCACTGTACTAATGCAGCCTGCTTCAGTTTTTTGTACTTTTGCCCCCTTAAAGCATCTTTTTATACCTTCTTCCAGTCCTTTTTAATATAATTTGTCTGATCAAGAGAAAATGCCATCATTAAGGATGGATTAATGTTAGCAGAATGTTTACATTGTCTCATTACTGGTGGTCTTGAAGCCATGTATGTCCTTAGTGCTTGTCTTTATGAGGCTTTTTTGAGTAAGGGCCTATCACTTTAGTATATGCTATCATCTTGGGGCTGGTCATTTATTCAAAGTAGTCACACTCTTCCTCATTTTCTGTGCAAATAAATTTATCTTGCAAATATATTTGCACATACACAGACATAAAGCAGTTATTTTGACTTCTTAGAATAAATGGAGGGCATTCACTTTGTCATGTTGTATACACTTATCGTATTTGTGGACTGATGATTGATAATTCACTTTATCAGCTGCATTTAGTATGCACAGCTTATGCATTATCCTACAAGGATGGCGACCTTATAGTTTATTAAGGGGCATTGTGATTCTATTTTCCTTTATGACAGGGATCTTTGACAAGCCCAAATGTTGCTGACTTTGCAATGATTTGGTCAGGACACAGATGGTTTGCACGAGGAGATGGAGAAAGCAATTGCTAGAAGTGAGGTAACTTTTCTCTCTGTTTCTCTATGATCTGGTTTCTCATCTTTCCTTGTTGGTGTTTTGTCCATAGTGCTGAGAATGAACTTTTTTGCCAATATTGTAGTGATGAGAGTAGGTGCCATGTTAGGAAATTAACTGTTGTCCTACCAAGCATTATTAATTAATTTCAAACACTGCTGTTGTCCATTAAGATTTCTAACATGTTATCTTACCACAAGCTACAAATATGATGCAGAAGCAGTGCAAAATTCCCCAAAAGTGTACAATAGTTGTCCTTATTTTCTAAAGAAGTGTTTACAAAAAGTCAAAACATTGGAGGAAATACAGAAGTATTTTTGATCTATAGAGAGAAATCTGAGCAGTTCAAGAAGGAAAGAGAGTTTTTAGGTCACAAATCTACCAGTGCATAATTTTATGTTCTATGATCTGATATATCAAATATGTTTCACGTGGTATATCCGGGGGTCAATATTTAAGTGCAAAAGAAGTTTGTTATATATATATATATGAAAAAGAAGTCATGTATGTATGTATGTATATGTATATATAATAGCTCCTATCTCTTGTATAAGCTGTGTAGAGCTAGGTTTCTTTCTTGGCACAGTGACAAGCCTTTGGGCAACTATCAATATGTTCTTATAGTCTTTCTCTCTCTCTCTCTCTCGTGCTCTCATGTTGTCAAGTTGGCAACAAAAATTACGAGGTGGGTGCTTTATTGTATTATCACTGTTGTTGCACCTTGTTATTGTTGAGACATCCTTTCATATGCTGTGTCACTAACATTTTCTTTTAGGGTAAGGTTTTAATATAGAAACCTTAGTTGTCAAGGTGATGCCTGGATAACAAGGTGCCCATGGAGGGTTGCCTTGCTTAAGCACCTAGGTATTTTTTTTTGACACTTATATTTTTTTTATATTATTCACAAATTATAAGTTTGCAACTTTGTATGATTTGTACTAGTTGGGTAAAGTTCCAGCGCAAGGGTCCCCTACTTGATGTATGGTTCATATGGGTCATAGAATTCCTCCATGTGGCAAAAGTAGGTGGGGTCATCTAGGGATCTTTAATAATCAAACTTATTAGGAAACCTTTCTTATAAATATGGTTGAAACATTTATAGAAAAGTAGGAACAATGAGATAGACCTATTATCAAGTTTTTGGAAACTTGATAAACCAATTTTTGCATTTCAAAATAGTGTACAGTCTACATCTAACTATTGACATAGGTCATAGGTAGGAGTAAATAAAAATCGACTTGAACAAGTCAAAGGAGTCATTGGAGTCCATTGTTTGATCTAGAGGAGCCATATGCAGGAATCTCTACCATGACTTGGCTCCCCATACTTGGGAGTGGAGTCAACTCGAGAGTCTTGGAGTCAACTTAGGAGATGGCAATCTATGATGGATGGAAATATAATAAGAGAAAAGGGGAGTTCCAAGTTCAATGCAGACCATGAGTACATTTTGTGGTGCCCAACTATACCTCTTGAATTAATGAAAGAGATAATTAACTTTTCTTAAATGTGTGATCCGTTGTACTTACGTTATTATTAAAACTCTCTTACACAATTTAAAGTTACATGCTGAAAATATACCCAAGCTTATTTCTGCATGTTTGGTCAAAAACTTCAATTGTAACATGTGTAAGATTGTAGGCGATGGATTGTTTCTAGATGTAAAGACAACTAAGTTTTATTGTTTGACAAGGTTTTTTTTTTGATCAATAACTGTGAATTGAATTAAGATTATGAAAAATTACAAAGCAAGGAAGCTAAACAATCTTAACTCCCGAGTACAACCATTGAACACCAAAAAAACAATTATAATACAGCCCAAAATATAGAGTTTCTGTTCACTCCTTGCCTAGCTAGACCATTTGCCAATGAGTTTGCACTTCTCTTTACCCATGTGCATTGAATTTCAATGTCCTTAAGAAGAAAAGTAAGAGCAGCAGTACAAGAGAAGAAGATGGCGAAAAGAGGAGGAAGAAGAAGAAATTCAATGTAACATGTGTAAGATTGCCTTCATTATAGAACTCTTATGAATCTAGTTGTAAAGACAACTAAGTTTTAT